TCTTGTATTTTATTTATATTTTACTTACTTTAAATAAAGATTATGCGAAGCTACCGCACTTAAAAAAAAAAAAAAAAGGTAAATTAATCTCAGAAGGTCATTTTCCTAGCTCACGTCCTATATAATACATTTGCATATTCTTTTGAATTGTTTTACTCTTTATTAAATGCATATATTGAATTTTTACATGAAGAAATAACCTTCTCCCATATAGTTATATAATTAAGAAAGTTGTATTGTCTTACAGAATCACGCTCTTTTTTTAAAAATACTATATTATCATTAGGTGGTTCCTTCTCTTTGTAAATTCTTTCTGCTTTCTCATAAATTGATCAGAAATGTTTTTTCTTAGTATATTCCTTTTGCATTTTATATTCTTGTCTATAAGCTTAAGCTGAAAGACTAGGTCTAGCTTTAAAATTTTCCTTTTGAGTATTTTGTCACTCAATCATACTATGTTCTGATGCATCTTTTTTGTATATTTGAGTACTAGATCTGAACTTACTTCAGAATCAGTAGTTAGATTAATCACTTTTGGTTTTTTTCTTCTTTAATTCTTTCCTTAGGTATTAACTATTAGAGTAGGAGAATAAGGTCTAGAAAGTGAAATATGTATTAGTAGATAAATTGGATTTATTTGCTTATACTTAAACTTCCTTTTAAGAAAACTTGTTCTATCATAAGTCTTTTTAAAGTTATTCTTTCTATATTGAGAATATGGTGATATCATTTTAGATATATGGGAAGCAGTCAGTAGAAAAGAGGGAAATCTAAATTTTGATCAAAATTCATATTATTAGACCTTTTGGCTAATCTCTATCATGTATACAAATTTGGCTTAATAATAAAAATTAACAAAAATTTTGGATTTCCCTCTTTTCTACTGACCGCCTTCCATATATGTATACTTTCAGTTATTTATGTTAATAATACAAAAACTTTTGTTTAAAATAAATTATTTATTTTCTTGTACCTTCGATACTGTGAAAGATAGCTGAAATAGAGCTTTGAATATATTTTTGAAAATATATTAGGCTTAACTACTTTGAAAAAATTTATATCTATCCCAATTTTTTTTACCTTGCTCAAATTTTTATAAGACTTTTATTTTAGAATTTGTGAATATGAATAGAATAGTTTCCTATATATCATGAAAATATTATTATGCTTGAATTTGGTCTACAATTTTTTTGCTTTTCTTAGATATATATATAAAAAATTTACATCTAACCCAAAAATTTACACTTTACCCAAATTTTTTTACACCTAAAATTAGGCTTAGCGACCCTAGTTTTATGTAAAAGAAATGTTTTAGAATGGTTTTCTGTATATTGAGAAATTATTAGTATACTAGAACTTGATCTAGAGCTTTTAAACTTTCTTGTACACATATAAAAATTTACATTTATACTTCATAATAGATGTACATTTTTAGTATTACTAGCTGATAATGAGTTAACTTTAGTAACTTTAGAATTTATTTTAGAATATCATGCAATATAATATGCATTTTAGACTTGCATAATCAGACCCAGCTCAAATCACATCATTTTGTTATTTGATTTTTGATAGGTACTCAGAAGGCAAGCAGACTAGCATAAAAGTTATTTATATTGGGTTTGTAATATCAAGCCTAGCTCAAATCGTGTCACTTTGTTCCTTGATTTTTGTTGAGCCCTCCTGAAACAAACAGAATAATAAAAATTTTTTATATATTACTAGTCAAGTTTGATATCAACATCAAGATTTGAATTAAATTAGACTAGAGGTTTAAATTCAATAATAGATTCATATAGCTAAAATTGATTCATAAGCAGTCATAAAACTTATTGTGTACTATTTTAATTTTTGCTTTAGAACCCTCATTTTTGTTGTAATGAATTTATTTCCTAAATAGTAGTATTCAGAATAATGTAACTATAATATTATTCTTAGTAGCCGTAGTAAAAAAAGAAAACTCAAGATAAGAACTGATATAAAATAAATTAAGTACTTGAGACCTGATATTAGACTATTATCACCTAATCAGTTTAGTTCACCAAAAAAAATGCATAGACATTATATATAGTCTTTTATTTTACTTCAAACTAATAAATGAAACAGAATAAAATAAAAGATTTTTTTTATACAACTTGTTTATTACCTTTATTTTATTTAAGTTAATTAATGTATTTTACAATTTTATCATCTGATTAACATATCCTTCTTTTTCTTCTTCTTTGTTTTCAACCTCTTCTTTTCCTTATATAATCTTTCTATCCATTTTCTTACCTTTTTCTTTCTGTTTTACTCTACTTTATTTCTTATTCATCAATTCCTTTTCAACTTGTCTAACTTCTTTCTTTTATTCCTTCAATGGTTTTTCTTTCAAATTTAAAAGGAATTTAACTTACACATTAAAGTTAATTTAAATATATTAAAAATTAGTCATTAAACCAATAAAAATTTTATAATAAAATTTATGATGTTTTTTAAGTAAAATCAAAAAAAAAATTACATTAATTAGTAACTTTTTGCATTAATTTAAGATCATAGTTTTGAAAGTTTTTTAATAAAAGTATTTTCTTTATAAAAGCTAAAATTTTTAATTTTTATTTTTTATTTGTTTTTATATTTTTAAAAAACTTTATAAAATATATAAATTTATATTTAAAGCATTTATTTATATATTTAAATATTATTTATTTATAAAAAAATCCATAAATTTAAAGTTGAAAATTTTATATATATTAATTATTAAAAATGAAAATTATGGCTAAATTTGAATGAAAATCACTACCATTTAAGGGATACTTTCGCAATTTCAAGTTCTCCTATACTCTTCTTTAGTATCCTTTTAATTCTTGTTGACCAAATGGGCACATGAAACGTTTATGATCATAATAGTAAACTCTTGGTTCTAATCATTTTTGTTTACTATAATGAGAATTTATTGAGTTCACTATATCGAGAGAAATTTATTATAGTTGGCGAGTTAAATAATTCACTATAACGTGATTTACTATAACGGGATTCACTATAACGAGCTTTGATTATCATATCCAAGAATTAATTTTGCAACGCCAAAAATTCGCGCATGCAGAACCAACCAAAAAAGAATATACGAACCTTATATAAAAAAATGAAATTTCTTTGTTACGATATTGCATCATAATCAGAATATGAAAATATTACTCGTGATCGGCAATTATAGCCCTCTATGTTGTACAATATAATAATTAAATAATTCCTAAAAAGATTTAGGCAAATTATATATTGTTATTATTAATTAGAATGATTTAATATGTTGAATCAACGACTCACATGAGTGGTGAATGATGTAAAAGTTAGTGTATAAAGTTTAGGTGTTTCTTTATTATTTTCTTTTGAAGCTCCCGTAATCACATAAAAAAAACCATTTCCTTTGGAGGGTGAAAGTAAAATTTTCCTTTTACCTTAAAAATATAGTTGTTTTAAATCATCCTCATTTTACAAAATAAATATCAAAACATAATACGAATCTATTATAATATGTTTGTTTTTATTTAGCATAATTTGGAATTTTTCTGCCATTCAATATCATAATGGATTCTCTTCAAATGAGCACGAGAACGTGAATAAGTCTTCAATTTTATCCGATATGGAATTAAATCAAAAGTATTGTGGTTCATCGCAATGTAAATTCTTATTTCTGTATAAAGTTATGGAACAGGAATCAAAAGCACGAAAACATTTTAAACAATTCGTTCAAATCGCCCAAAAACTTAATCGAACGTTAGTATTAACGAACGTTGGTGAATCCCGTATTGGTGCTTGTTTTACATACCCATTTAGTTATTATTATTCAACAGAATTTCTTCAAAAGAATTTTCCCGATTTAAGAGTTATAACTCAACAACAATTTTCAGAATGGACGAGGTTACGTAAACAGAAACCTTCCTCTCATCAAATCTTCTTTCAAGAAAGTCATCAAGATACTTCATTCGGATTTGTTGAAAACGAACCAATTCTGTCCAAATTAAAACGTGATTTGTGTCATGGTGAATTCGAAGTTGATTTTGATAACATCAAATTTTATAATTTAAATATGGGCGTGGTCAAACCGTGAAAGATTAATAAGAATTTATTAAATTTTATTTTGATACCCTTAAACGATTTGATGATGCTGAAATTTTATTAATGGATCAAAAATTTCATCATGAATTCTTTTTAAAACGTGTTCCCGATTTAGAGTATGCGCCTCATATAATTGAAAAGGCTTTGGAGATCATTCGTAATTTACAACCATTCATAGCTGCTCAATGGAGGATGGAACTTGGAAATCCTCTAAATATGCCAAGATGTGCTGAAAAGTTGGTTTCACACGTAGAATCATTAAAAGTCATTTATAACACTCGTAATGTTTATCTTGCTACCGATTATCCTTTAAAAGATTCTTTGGCTCAATCCTTCACATTTCATAATGTGAAAATAGAATATCATGGAAAAGCAATGGATATTTTAAGAGATAAGATTGGTTTCCTTAGTTGGTTAAATTACACTTTAACTGATCAATTTGGTAATGAAATGGATGTTAAAGATTTCGCTAGCAGTGGTATACCGGGAATTTTAGATAAAATCGTATGTTCAAGAGCAAAAATATTTTTAACTGCGCCTCCCGAATGCAGAAAGCGCTCTAGCTCATACACGTCAATGATTACTGGTGAAAGGCTTGCTTTGATGAAAAATGGTATCAAAGAAATTGAAAATATAAATTTAGAATGGTAAATTTAGAAAAAATTTTGCCATGGCCGGCCCAGCAAAACCCAACCCTTGCATTTGTAGAAGGTCCATCACGTGAAATATTTATTTAAACAAATACCCTTGCGTAGTATATATATAAAACAAGAACTTCGCGATAATAAAAAATTAGATCCACATCCTGCTTGTATTTTCAAAAAATTATCGTGTAAAAATTTTTTTTCATAGAATAACAAAATTATTGATAAATTATACAAATTTACAGAGAAATATTATAGTAATCTCCTATAAAAAGGAATGAGAAAATTTAAGCACTTCCGTATAATCTTTTCTTTAATCTTGCCCAACGTTGACGACATGAATCACCCGAACGATTAAGTTCGTAATTTCTAGAAATTTGTATCCAAGATGGAGATAATTGAGTCAAAACCCCTTCAATAAGTTTTCTGTCTTCCTCAGGAGTCCATGGTGTTACGTTACGAGCTATCGCCAAAGGAATACGTGTTTGGTTTGAAACATTTTTGTTGGTACTTTCCTCTACTTCAGTTAAAGTATGGGATTCAGGTGAAGTTGTAGAGAATATGGAAGTTGCTTTTTTAGAATTGGGAGTCCATGGTTCCTAAAGTACATATCAACATTATTATTATTATTATTAAACGATCCGCAAAGAATTTAACGAAATTTAAATAAAAAAAAAAATACCTCCTTGCCAGTTGTTGGATTAATGAAGATAACATCATCATCTTCCTGCTGCTTTTGCTCTACAATCATAATGAATTCGTCTTCAGTTTGGAGCTGATAGATTGGAGTAGATTGTGAATTACTATGTGATTTAATTTTCTTAAACCCTTGTCTTTGTGAAGTTGGATATTCATCGTCCACAATAAAACTCTCTTCATCTGTAAGACATATTACTTCACTAAAAAATTTTTCCTGATCCTCATCTCTTGGCAACAATTTATAATTAGCTTTCATAAATGTATATATATTATTATTTTAATTATCATTATAAGGAAACTAAATTAACAACTGGCGATAATTAAAATAAAAAATTTATACCTGCTAGGTTTTTTACGCTTTTCTGTCCCAAAATTGATTTTCCTTCGTTATGAATGTTGTGATATCTTGAAGTACTTTGTCCTCCATAAAAGGTTATATAATCATCAGCAGTCATTTCATCATCCGAATCTTGTCTTTCTTCAAAACCTTCTTCTTTTATAGAACACATTTGCGAATCCGAAACATCTTTATTAAAATATTTTAATTCATCTTCGTCCTCCTCAATATATGAATTTTCGTGTTCACTATTATTTTTCATCAATTCAGCGAATGCAGGTCTATCATCGATAATTTGATCACAACAATTTTGATTATGATCTGAGAAAGGAATTTTCTCAATATTTTCCACAAGTTTTGTATCATCAAATTTTAAAACACAAGGAATAAAATCAACCTCTTGATTCTGAACAAATACTTGTTCTTTATCATCAAAATTAGGTTCCATCTTAATCACATTATTCAGAAATTTAGTATTAATTCTTTGATAATTTATTTCGTCCATAATTTATTTTGATGATTAGAAAAACAAGAATTGTTGAAATTAATCTTGAGAAAAAATACCACAATAATAAAATATACTTCCTTTTTGTCTAATGATATATTATATACTCGGATCATATCATAAAGATTCATTACGTTTTGATCGGATCAATTCATGACAAGTAAAATTTAAAAAAAATCGACAATTTTTTTTTTAAAAAAAAATAGATATTATAAATATATAAAACAGTGTAATTACAACAATAATAATAACTGAAATCCTTTATGAAAATAATTTTATTATAATATTTTTTGCAAATTTAAAGATTTTAATTTAATTCTAACACCCACCCAAAACAGCTAAATTTCGCAAAGTTATTATATTAAAGCCGAATAAATATCCAAGTAAAAAGGATAATGTCACCCAATCCAGTCTAATTATGAATTCCAGTATTATTAGCGGATGTCGAAATACCTTTACCACGTGACTCATTTATCATTGCTAAGGAAGTAAATATTAAACGAAAAATGATAAATAAAGATTGATTAAAGACCTTTTCGAGTTTACAATATCGTTAGACTTACTTCTATGTTTCTTATCTGATGATTTTTCGTGTCCTTTATGAGCTTTATGAAAATTTCCATGCTGAAGGATATACTCTATGACTTCCATATTGTTTGATGTGCCAAAAGCATTTTCAAGTCTTTGTTTTGAGGCGCGACCGGCTATACCTTCATTACCTCCGTTCACAATTTCAAAGACATCGAAAGCTATTATGAAAATTAACCATTTTAGCTATAAATTAAACTTATGGTTTCGCATTAGAAAACTTTAAAAAAATCACACATTGAACGACTTCAGCTATTGGAATCGATTTGTCTTTTCTCCATTTCAAAACCTATCAAGAGAAAGAGAGAGAGAGAGAGAGAAAAGGTGAGATATCATGTGAAAGGGTCACTTGTAATTTATTAAAAATCTACCTGATCAGGATTTCCAAAAACGAAAAATTCTTCACGACTATCTTTAGGTTTATAAATAACACGGGTATCATCTTGTGAAACGGACATTTTTTTTAACAACGTAAAATTTATTTATTTTGAAAAAAAAAATAAGAAAAACCAAAAGTTCAATAGTCTCGAAAACAAAGTATTTATATATTCCCATACACCCGTGATAAGCCTATTTATGATATCATTGTATGTATTTATGTAATTATTTCTCATGGCGTGTGAAGATATTAACAAAAAGATTTCCGATTTTGGCTATCTATTATGTTTCTGACGACACTCTGAGTGAATAATATCACGTGACATATTTTCGTAATATTAATTTAATTTAAAAATTAGTATTTAAATCAAGAGATTTTGGCAAAATATTATTAAAATTTTGATAAATATTAGAAAATATATTTGTAAAATTAATTTAGCATTTTTTTTAATAAAAATATAATATATAAATAATAATATACTAATATTTTTTTTTAAAAGCTTTTATTTTTTTTAGCAAAATTATTGCTATCATTATTTATTTCAATATTAATTTTTTCTTCTTATTCTTTTTCTACATTTTCTGATTCTTTTTCTATACTTTCAGTTTTTATGATTCTATGATATCATTTGTATTAGTTGTAGATTTTAAATAATATTTAATAATTAGTGAAGAACCTTTATCTACATTTATATATTTCTAATATTTCATATTTTGGTAATTTATTACAGTAGATTTCTAATATATAATGCCTTTTTTTTTGCTAATTACTTCTTAAAAAAAATTAATTTATAAAAAAGATAATAAAATAAACAAAACCTATTAAAACAAAAATATATTTTCTAATTTTAGCATTCTTTAAATATAATAATTTTAGTCGCATGTAACTTTCATAATATAATTATATTATGAAAGTCACATGTAACTTGAATTAGGTTATAAAGGTAACTTCATAATCTGCCAGCAACTTCATAATATAATGGTAACTTCATAGTCTACTGGTAACTTCATAATATAATAGTAACTTCATAGTCTGCCAGTAACTTCATAATATGATGATAATTTCATAATCTAATTTCATGATCTGGTGGTAACTTCATAACCTACTATTCATAATCTGATAGTAACTTCATAAC